AGAACCTCACTTTTTGGCCACTATGTATTTTGATACAAATTGTGAATCAGATAATTAGGCATTTTTTTGTAGTATATATAGTATTTCTAGAGATAAAAAGGTCACTAGAATAGAAAATAGAATTAAAAATCATTATCTAAGCCAGTTAAAATCAAGAATTAATCTATTTAGCTGACCAAACAGCCAAGATCATTTATCATAATTAGCTGAAAACAAACATTCTCTGACCCGAAGCAAAATAATTAAGTTGTCTGAAGTCTAACGCATTATCTTCTCAACTTTTGATGATCTGAAATGGGGCTAGTGTTAAATCTAGCCCGAAAAGTGCTCTAAGATTAACATTTTATAATCAAATATAGTACTTCGACTGTTAATTTGTATCAATTTGCGGGCGACCGCAGAATGAAGAAAGAAACAACTATTTTTCTGGCTTTTACCAGGCACGCCAAATCAATCAAAACCTTAGCAGTCGCACATGGAGCAAAGCAATCAAAGCATTATCGCAAAAAAAGGCGAACTGAAAAAACCAAAAAAGAAAAGATTAATGAACAGAAATGTACATTAAATTGCTTGGCCCCGACGCACAAATGACTTTCACTTTCTTTCCAATGGGGCAAGGAAAAGCGATAGGGCGAAGAAACTTATAGCTGGGAAACTATCCATCAGATACTTCGAGTATATTTGACCCATTAAGGCCCGAGCAAATACACGCAATGCAAAACGCATTGAGATATCGTTCGTTGTCCCTGGCAATTGTTTTAATTGGATTGTTTATTGGATAATGGGGGAGGGTTCGGGTTTGGGTTCTGTTTTGGTTGCCATGCTCAACGGGTTGGCCCATCTTTTCCCGACCTCGTTGTCCGCGAAATTGAGTCAACCCATATTGCCCCCTTGTATTGACCTAGTTCACCATATTTCATGCTCAATTTTACTCTTTCAGGGTCACGTGAAACAAAATCGACTAACTAAAGTGTTTTTTTATTTTTTGCAACACACTTCCTCAAGGCTTTTCGTATTGCCACTGATGTCGTCAGATCTGTGGATTATTTTAGGTATCCCATTTAGAATATTCTGGCCATTTGTTGTTTGCCCATTCTATATATGTCTGTCGGTCTGTCTAGTAAATTAATGTCTAGCTAGGAATTCGTTCTGCACAATTTATTTAAAGAAAATTTTTTTTAATTCTATAGGAAAACATTTTAAAATATTTTTGGGGGTTTCTATTGAGAAAGAAAATTACAATTTTATTTATCCAAAAATTCGTTCATAGCGAGAAAAATGGATTTCAGAGAAAGTCCTCAGAAAATACTTTAACCTTAGAGTTAGGAGAAAGGAATTGGGAAATATTATCCAAAAATAATCTTCATATTTTGGGTACCAACAATATTAAATACCTCATGTTTTTGAACATTTTGAATTTCCTTTTTTGAGTTTAACACTTTTTTCACTTTTAAAAAAGGATAAATATCATAAAGATTTTCGCAGATCATTGAACCACTCATGATCATTATGTACGACTTTAACACCGCTCATTACAGCCAGAATTTCAACATATTCCATTAATCTTTGTTTGCTTCTCATTATCCCCGACTCGATCGGTTTTTCTGTCCTGACCAGACAATTTTTCATATTTTAACGAGCTAAAATTACGCGACATATCGTAAAGAGACCCTGATATTATATAGCTATCGAACACAGTCTGCGTGCTACCCCCAGCAATCTGTCACAATTTATTTTAACACTTGCTCCCCCATGTCGTTACTCTGTCGCCCGAAAAACAAATTGTATTTGTTTCAGTTTATATTTTGGCAATTGTTTTTTGTGGGATTTTCTCTGAAAACATTTGGGTGACGGAAGTGCGCGTGTCGGCGCGACGCCATTTAAGCCAAAAAAATGGAATATGGCTATATAATGTGTATTTAACGATTCGAAAAACAGGCGAAAAGGCAGGCGCTGCATTAAAATTTCAGCCGCGTTTTGAACGCGCAAATCTGTGACGCCCTCGAGTCGCCAAATCCTGACTTGCATCTGAAATCAAGAGGCCGTTTAATTTCCCTATATAGAAATCACAATATCGGCAAACAGTAGTACATATAGATATCAATCCACATATAGAGAATATATAAAACAGCCGGCCATCAACTAAACGGCCCATGGGCTGCATAAACAATTTGACGTCAATTCGAATGGAAAGAGAACAGAATAAATATCTGACTTTGGAATCAAGCAGAACCAAAATAAAGCTAATGAATGTGTTTTCATCTTTATGCCTCACTCTATTTGGGGAAATAAATCAAAAAGCTTATAGTAAGAAACCATTAGAAAGCAAATTATAAGCTGCAAAGGAAGCCGGCGATTTGTTTGCTCATAGTCTGGTCAGAGAATTTACGACCTAACTATCTGTATAGAGCATAAAAATGCACTCAACCCTTATAGAGAATGACTCAACATCCGACAACCAACCACCGATGAGCCAAAGGGCTGGTTTATTTGCAAGCAAAGACGAAAAAAGAAAACAACGTCTTTTGTTGGCCAACTTGCCAAGTTGCAATGGGCAACATTGAAAAATAAATATGCAGAGCGAAAATATTTAACCGGTGACCCTTAAAAAGCGATATTTGACATTTGTGCTCAAAGTATACATTTTCCCAGTGCCGCAAAGGAAAAATAGAAGAAAAAAAATTTAAGGGGCAAGGTAGGTGTACAATTTAAGAAATACTCTTAGTTAAACTGTAACGACTTTAATATAATATGGGTAATGCTATTTTATGCTATATTATGCTATTTTATGCTAATGCTATTTTATTTAAGATCTTAATTAGGCTAAGGTAAGAAGAAATCAAAGGCAATAACCACTAAAGTTTATTTACAAAGGAGAACATTTTAATGAACTGTCAATAATACCAGAGACACTTAAACATGGAACACCCAACTTTAGCTTGTAAAACAATAATTTCACACCCAAATACAACCACCATGAGTTTTTCATATTTCCAAAATTGCTGGAATGATATACTACCTCCCAAATCCCACAATCCCACACGGTAAAGCCTGAACTTTTTAAGAGAAATGATGTTGAGCACTGAATCATTTATATTAGACGAACGAATGAGTTTAGTTTGAATAAATATATCTTGTTTTTGGGGGCCCTAATTGCCGATGAACCGATCCATTTTTAGAGGAAAACTATTGGAAAAACAAACGCCAGCGCAGGCGAAGTGGGAAACGTTTTCGAAGATGTGGATGCCAAATAGATACAAGTTGCTAGCGCATAGAGTAGATACAGATTTGAATCCGAAACTGAATCATGATGGACGCACACAAGTGGACCGCGACCACACCTCTCTACCTCAGCTGATGTAATAGTCGTTCCAACGGATGTGCCGAAATGTTTATAAACAAATAAGGAAATTGCACGGCGAGAAAATGCATAAAGCAATTCTAAAAGATTTCAATTTGGAGCATATACAATGTTATATGTATTTAAAAAATTAGAACAATTTATAAAGAGTAAAGGAATTTAATACAGCTGTATAAAGAAAAAAGATTAAACTACATCTAAATTTCTTTTCAAAAATATAGATTGACTTCTTCAGTTTAATCTTAAATCAAAAGCAGAAACTTTAAAGAAAGTTCTCATACTTAAAAGTCTATAGGGTTCTAAGAAGAAAGAATTGTAATCTATATAAACTAGTTTCATTTATAACTTACACTTATAGCGCGTACTGTCGAGCATTTATATGCCGAGCTTTATCATTCCAGAACAGAAAGTTGGGTGATATTTCTTGAGTTTCGTTTGGGGTTGGCCTCTTCAGGTTTGTTTAGGCCGCTCACGTTGTCACAGAAACCGCAGGGTTGAGTTAGGAAAGGGTTCCGAGGGGTAAAACCGAGGTACCGAAGTATGTTAGAAAGTAAAACGCGCGAAAACAAATGCCACTATATTGATTACTGGTAAGGCACACAAAACCACACGCGTGTTACCGGCGAAGTTAACCGGAGTCGTTAGCCTTTATTTTCTTTTTTTTCTATTTGTTGTGACAGGTCCGCTGTCTGCACTTTTTGTTGTTGTAACTGTGGACAATCCAATTAGCCAGTAAAGATGCCGCCCTACCAATCAGATAATGACATATACACCTGAGATATATTCCATATAAATCTCGAAGCGTTCTTTCACCGCCGAAAATTTGTTGAAATATCTTTGGGATTATTTCGATTCAGAACACCAAGTGATTTTTTTTTGAATTCGGGATAGAAACGCGTGGAAAAGCACCAAAGATCGCGACGGAAAGGCCGGAAAACGCGAAGGGAAAACACGATGCGAACGGGAACACAACCAAAGCAAAACTGAATGGCCAGCGGAGGAATCCAATGGCCAACAAATTCTGAGACGACCCCTGAGTGAGAGCTTTCCTCTCACTCGTGGCTAGGCGGAAAACTCAGGAAAAGTCGGAAAAATGCTATTTTTGCCCCACGCCGGAAAACTACTCAAAGAGCCAAAGGCTTGATGAGGAAATTTTGTTTGAGCATTTCAACCGACCATTTTTGTTTACAACGATTTTTTGTGTAAATGGCGCGCCGGCGTTCATCGGATGAAAGTGAAATTACAATTGGTGGGGAATTGCAAAGAATCTTTTTGAAAATGTCACATTATCCGGTTTAATTTTGTATTATATTATTTAAAAAGTTTAATCATTTGCAAAAAGTAAAATTTTTAATGAGATTCGGTATATAAATTATTTAAAATCGTTTGGTTCTGCAAAAAAAACAAAGATTTAATGATGCTTTATGCACTATATTAATATATGATTATACTGAAGGTCACGAATGTTTTAAGATAAATAATTCAATTCTTCCTCTTAGTCCTTACAAAATTGTTTGCCATTTCATTTCAAACTTAATGTCATAATCGACATAGTCTATAGGGTGCCCTTTTTAGTGGTGCCGCTGATTGCGGGACTCAAACTGTATAACTTGTATTCCCCAAGGCGTCCGTGCATTGTTTGCCTTGTTTCTTTTATTAAAAATTATTTTAAAATAATAATCTCTGCAGCTGAATAAAATCCAGTGATAAGAGTATGGAATTTGAAAACACGATTGCTTTGCGTACATTAGTTTTTTAGCGACATGATTTGGTGGACGTGTTTTTTTATAGCTACAGCGCCCAGCGGTTTGAGTGCTTTTTGCGATCGTAATTTAATTGTGTATACCAATCCTAAACACCCGTTAAGCGGAGATTCTTTTGATTTGATCTGTTCTTGGGATCCTTGTCGTGGAAAGGGTAATCATAATCTACTTTCTAACGATCGCCTCAAGTTGGATACAGTGCACATCGACAACTTTACCATCAAGCACAGAGTAATAAAAACTCCGCCTGAAGGAGGAATTTTGATTTTTATATGCCAGCACGACCTCACCACAACTTCTTCCGCCATTGAAGTGGTACCAAAGCTGAATGTCAAGGACTTTGAGTGCATTAGTCGAGGGGACATATTGGTGGCGGAATGTAGCTTTAACCAGCTGGTATTTAGAGGTTTCTGGGAATCCACCAAATACTATCTCAGCATAGATAGTGGGGATAAGCACCAGTGCCAATCGATGGGGACTCAAATTCAGTGCACTAGCCAGTACTCACTAACCACATCAGAAAACCCGATCCTAACCTTTGCACTTGAAATGCAAAAGGGATATACATTGCAAAAGCAGATATTTCTTTTCAATAGAACCCAAATAAAAGTGCCGCATTGGCCGATAAGTTCGCCAATAATCAACAACAAACCAGGCAATTTAACTTGCATCGATTTTGGATCCTATTCAGTCTATGACACATACGATTGGAAGCTTATGCTGTATCCGCAAAATCCACGAGTCGGTTTGAAGAAAGAGCTTAAGCCAGTTTTCCAAAAATTTTTGTGGGCTAAGGATGAGATATGCTTCCATACGCCGCACTACTATAACCAGACCTTTGTAGTGCATGTGTGGCGTCGCTACAGGGGCAGAAATAATCCATGGACGAGAGATTATTACGCTGTTAAATTCACCACGGATACTTATCGGCCCGGCAGGCCTCCGTACTTACTGAACGATGTGTTCTATTACGAACCAGATACAAAACATCTTCACGTTTTCTGGCACCATATGTACAGTCTGGAGTTTGGCGACTCTGACTTAACCTACATTGTGCGTACAGACACAAGGTAAGCGAATACTTCGTCCGTCTGTCCGTCCGTATGAACGCTGAGATCTCGGAAACTATAAAAGCTAAAAAAAAGGCATGCATATTCTAGAGATTCTTGTGCATCGCAAATTTATTTCAGCGAACTCTAACGGCCACAATCGTCCATAAAGCTAAAGCCTGTCTAGCCTAAAGACTTTGTACAGGGTACCAGAGGGTATTTGTAGAGGGTATTATAATTTAAGTCAAAAGTATGCATAGCAGATAAGGGGATATTTCCGACCCGTTCAAGTATATAAGTAAAATTATGTTCATCCGTCAGTTCTTGTCGAAAGTTGTTGGATTCTTTTTTAAGTTCTGATAATTTTTATTAATGATAATTTATTTTTTGACTTGCAGTAAGAAGGCACTGCATACAGGAGAAAGCTCCGCCATATTCAATAAATGGGAACCCAGGCAGCCGGCTACTGTGTTGGTTTGGAGCAAAAACTCCGTAGGGCAATCGGAGAACAGCTCCGAACTGAATGTTCCAGTTCTGACCAACTCGGAGCTGCATCAACCGCAGGACCTTTGGTACCATATAGACAACCAAACCATGACCTGGAAGCCACCGAAGGATGTAAATAAGCTTATTTCGTATATCGTGATCTGGTGCTTCGTATCCTCCAACATAACTTTTATCTGTGAGGATCAAAGGGGTCTACATTCAGAGCCTGTGCCAGCATCTATGCAGAAATTCCAGTTCAAAACACAGGCAGCTGATTTAAACAAGGCGGTGGTGGCCCTTTACGAGGACGGGACCAGCGGAGGCATGGTATGGAACGGTCCCAGCTTCATCGATTACAAAACGAGCAAGTCGAAATCCTCTGGTGATGAAAAAATATTCTATATTATCGGCTCAGTCGGTGCCGCGTTTCTACCTATAATAGCCGTTTTGATTCTTAAACTTAAAAAAATGAGTCAAATTAAAATAATATTTCCCGTTGGCCTATTCGATTGTATTGAGATGAAAAATGGATTGGTTCATCCTCCTAGTCCCATCACCATACCTGGAAGCGTTTCTCCAAGGGGTATAGTTAATATTAAGATGACGAGGATGGAAACTATTCCCGAAGAAGGTCTAAGTACTGTTTCTAGTTCGTATGTGACATTGCATGAGCCGATTATTGAACATAGCTTGCATGGGCCCATGAAAGAACCCAATGTTGTACCTAGTTTGTATGTGCCCACGGAAAAACCAATTATTGTTTCTATGTCTTATGTCACCGTGGACAGTAGCACTCTTGAAGAACGCACAGTTAATCTTAATTACGTATAGTCAAAATTCTTTATACACCTGATATTTTTAATATTACTATTTCAAAAATGAACATTTTAACAATAAATAAAGTATCTACCTATGTACAATGTATATTTGGATCTGACTGCTTCTGATTATTTTTAGTAATTCCGAAAGTCCTTAGGAATAATTGCACAGTTTTTGCCAAAACATAACTTTACTAGCAAATACAGAATACAGGGTTCATTATTCCTCCTAAACTTATAACCATTCCAGGAAGCGTTTTCCCAAGGGGTATAGTTTATATTGAGATGATGCGGAGAAAACAATTTCCGAGCAAGAGCTTAGGAATACTCATATGTACACAACAAAGAAGTTAAATAAAATAAAAAATAACAATGTTTGTTTACTTATTTTGGATAGGGGAATTTAGCCACCAAAAACCCTTGAATCCGCCCCTGAAATATAACATAAAAAGAAAGAACGGTACTCCGTGTAATTGCATTAGCTTATAACGGTAAATGTTTTTGGCGGCTTACACTCACCTTTAAAAATACAGCTGGATTTTCATGTCCTCCTCCAAGCAAACAACAGCTGTTTCAGGACTTCCGACAACTCCTCTCTCCATATACAATCCTTTTTGAGTTTTTAATGATAAAGCTGCATATTCCCTTGTCGATTTGAAACCGAAAACACGATTTTTGTTTGCCGGCGACACACAAACACGCACGCACTGCCAAAAACACACACACACACGCGCGAGTAAACAGTTGCATTTGCCGGTTGGATTTGTTGTTGCTGCCGCCAGATAAATTATGGATATGAATAATTTGCCCAGAAAACTTACCTGTTAATTGGTTAATACTCCTCTTTACCTCAGTTAAGGCCTAGCTAACTACTAGATGGCTTTTATTTTAATTAATTTCAACTATCACACGGGTTTTATTTACGCGCCGCCAGTAGCATGGCAAATATTTCATTAAAATTCGAGCGGATTTTCATTAAAACTATAGGTGGTGGCCTAGGCCCTGCCTTAAACACGCGAAATGCACTTTATGTTATTTATGGCTTGCTAATTTACTTATTTATTTATTATTAAACAAAAGCTAAAATTTGGCAATGTTTGTCGGAGTTGCCTGATTGATTGTGACAAGTCATATGGTGAGGGAGTTGCCAGTCTGGGTAGACAACGTACTTTGCAGTGTTGGTAAACAGCACAACTGTTGACCATGTGGCAACTCCGCAGCGCTTAAACACATTTCGCTTAGATTTTAAAAAGATTTTTTAATTTTCTCTTGGATTACTTGGTTTTTTGAGTTGATTTTGAGTCGACACACTGCTGAAATGGCCCGCACTGAGCTGGAGAAGAAGGCCAAACGCCAGGGCAAGAAACGCAAGCACGAGACGGCCGAGAATGCGGGACATGCGGCCAGCGACGACGAGGTGGCCAACAAAAGTCTGATTGTGGAGCCACAGGTGGAGCAACAGGCGGCTGCAACAGGTTAATTTGGCTTTATATCTGCATCAGCTATATATAACACATCCAACACTTGCAGGTAAACCCCCCAAGAGGCGTCAAAAAGGCGACGAAGCGTTGGCCACCAAGAAACGCAACAAGAAAAACGCCGTGGAGGAGCAGGTGGCCACCAGTGGTGTCGAGGAAGATGCCCCACAGAAGCCTCTTAAAAGAAAACAAGCACAGGAGGCAAACAAATCCCAAAAGCAGAAGCGCAGCAAGCAGGAAACCAACTCGGACGACGACGAAGAGGATTCCCAGCCAACAGAGGAGCAGCTTAAGGAGGCTGCTCGTCCGGAAAACGCCAATGCAGTGGTCACCGTTCGCCAAAAGAAGAAACAGAAGCACCAACAGCGCCTCGAAGCCCAAAAGAATCAAAACTCCAACAAGGAGGCCAAAATCAACAAGGAATACCTCATAAAGTGGAAGGAATCCCGTCAGGAGTGGAAATTCAACAAACTCCGGCAGATTTCCATCCAACAGACCGCCTTCGATGAGGAGAAACTGGATGCAGAGCTGTGGCCCATTGCTCTGGAGTATTTGGCCAGTTCTCAGGGTGCAGCGCGCTCAAAGATCAGCCAACTGGCCGAGGAGGTGATCCAAAAACTGGACAAGGAGGGCGAAAAGCTGGAGGATGAGGCCGAAAGGCAGAAACTGATCGAGTCCACCCGTTACCAGCGGGCACGCGATCTCCTCCAAAGCTTCGACTAGTTGTTTATGTTAGTTGTTAATGTTTGCCCTTAGATTTAAATAAAGAGAGCCTTTCTATTTTACAAAAAAATATAATATATATAAAAATATATGTTGCCCTTAAGGTTTAAGTTTATTTTACAAGAAACTAAGGTCGTCTTCTAAGTTTACTTATATTTACAAGTCCACATAGGCCAGTAGCTTGTCCAGGTGGTCTACGCGCTGCTTCAGAAGCTGTTGCTCCTCCTCCTTGAGCTTCAGCTTCTCAAGCTGATCCTCCTTCAAAAGGAAATGCTGCAGGAAAAGCCTTACACTCTGCTTAAACTGCTGCAGCTTGGTGTTTTTGGCTACTCTTTCGAAGGTCTGAAAGACTTCCCGCTCATCCGGCGCCAAAAGCAACCTCACCATCACCTCTTTCATAAAGTAAAAGCTCAGTTTGTCCAGCTGCATAAAGTCCACCACTTTGAGCACAGAGAGCTGCAAACCAGCAGCTAGGATTACTTGCTGAAGGAAACTAGCCAGGTTGCGAATCTGGGGCCTGGAAAGCTTTTCGATATCATTGATCCTGTCCCAACTGGCAAACTGGAAGGCAAGCTGATACTTTCTATTGAACTGACAGAACTTTAGGGCCAAATGCGCATAGTAGGGATTGGCGCGCTTTTCGTTGAGGGCGCAATGGATGATCACATAGGCCACCGCCCGCTGATCCTTCAGAGCCAAATGGAGGATCTTCTCGAAGGCATCCACATAATCAGCGGCACTCATGATGATGCAGAAGATATTCCTCCTTTCAGCGGTGTTCATTTGCTGCTTTCTGGCCAGCTCCAGTAACTGATCCGCGAAACCTCCGTTTGCAGTCTTGGCTGAGTTCTTATCCTGCTTTTGCTTGGCGGAACCCATCTCATCAAGATTTCCCGTCCAGGCAGAGCCCACAATCCACCATTTTCCCACCTTATCAGCACGTAGGAGATCCTCTAGGGTTATGTTCAAGGTAACCACATAGCGATCATTTTTCAACATGGCCTTCAGACGTTTTCGGAGATTCTCTGCCAACTCAGGATCATATTGAGGAAGCTTTTGCATATTGTTGTTCTTGACTGCATTCAGAATGTCCACCATGAAACGTAAGCGGGGATTCTCTTTCAGTTCCAGTGGGGCAGTGGCAATCTGCGATTGAACTCTTTGCATCATGGTCTTGAAAGACAATGGATCGTCCTTGCGCAGGCGGAAACCGATTGACTGGAAGATTAGCAAAAGGCACTCCACGCTCTTCTCGCAAAGCTGATCGGCCAATTTGCCTATCAGCTCAATCAGCAGGCTCAGCTCGTAAATCTTGAAGAGGTACATGTAGCAGAGGACTAGCACTAAGTTATTCAACTGCTTGTCCTCGACCTCCAGATTAGCGATATCCTTTACATAACCATCGAATAGCTCTACAAAGGTCTGCAGAAAATGCGCTCCAATCTCGCTGCCTATTTGGGCATGCAGATAGGCCAATAAAACCATATGTTCCTGCACCATTCGCTCATTGGTTCGCGTGGAGCCAAGCAGGGCTTCCTGAAGTAACTTGGTCAGGGTTTCGTTCATGTTGAAGCGGGAATTCTTCATGTAGAGCGCCTCTATACCAGCAGCGATCTTGTGCAGATTGGCCTCGGACAGACGATTGAGCAGACCTTTGCATTGCTTTAGAAGGCGGGCCAGAATCTCGGCCTGCTTTTCGCTGGATCCCGCACTGGCGGCCATCAGAGCTCGCTGATGTGGGGGAATGTACTTCTGGCCGGCGGCAGAGGCCTCCTGCTCCACGGGATCGGGCAAAATGTTGCCCTCTGCATCACGCTTGCGTCCGTAGATGTCTTCTTTAACTGGGAAGGATTAAATAGTGAGTTAACGAGATAGTTACTATATGGTACTCTTATTCACCTTTGAGTGCCTCCTCCTCCTGTTCGGACTCCTCCTCGCTGTGCTCCTCATCTCCACTGAGGTCTTTATCATCCAATTCCTCCTCCGACCCACTGTCGTCTTCGTGGAAGTTATCTTGGGGCTCATCCCGCTCCTCATCATCCTCCTCATCGCTCCACATGCCCGCCTCCTCTTTTTCTTGCTTCTCCTTCAGCCGCTTCTTGCGCTCCTGCTTCTCCTCCCACTTAAGCTTCTCCTCCTCGTCATCCAGGACGAAGTCCAGCAGGTAATCCAGGCCATCGTTGAACATCTTCCTAACCAGGCGGTTCTTGTCCTTAGATTTGTTGAGTTTCAACTTCTTCTCCAGCTTGTTGATCTCGCGATCCTCCTCCTCGTTCTCCAGGCGGAGTTGCTTGAGCCGCTGCTTCTTGGACTTCGTCTGCAGTTCCCTCTGCTGGCGGAGCTCCTTCCGCCTGGCCGCCTCCTCATCCTGTCTTTGGATGGCGCCTCCTTTCCTCGCCTTTTTCCCCTGCAGCGGTTCGTAGACCTCTACTTTCGCCCTTTTGGGCATCAGAGCATCCACCTCGGGATCACTGAAGTCCGAATCGATGGACTCATCATCGTCGCTGGCGATTTCCCCGGATAAAAGCTGCTCCTTGGGAATTTCATCTGGATTTTGGATCACTTTCTTGCTCCTTTTCTTCTTCTTGTTTTTGCCCTGCAGCGACTGCGCTGCCGACGCCTCTGCCGCCGCTGCCACGCGCTGAGGACCGTTAGTTTTGCCGGCATGATAAAGTCGCTTATTCTGCTTTTTAACCTCTGACTTTTGCTTTCTCTGCTCCTTGCGGGTCAATGGCTTCTTTTTCGCCTCCTTTTTCCTGATTTTAACCATTTCGAGCGGGAATTACAAGCGATTTCAACCGGATCACATTTAAAAATTGTTGTGATTTGGGCAATCAGCTGTTCTCGACAAGTGTTGGACAACCCACGTGGTTTGAAAGGGGCATGTGTAGAAATATTTCAAGGGGGTTATGAATATACATATATTTTTATGTCTTTCTTTATTATTGCAGTAAGAAACTTATAAGTCCATTTGTTTTTATTATTATATTATTATATTATATTTTTCTTATACAGATAATTACAATTTTTTTCAGTTTTACATAGCAATCTTACTCGGCCCCTTTTCTCCGCCCGTGGTCCAACCCAAAACATTTGGCCTTTTTTAGTGCATTTTGTAAACGGACAACAATTAATTTAAATTCTTTAATCTTGAATAAAAACAAGAGTTTCTGAAGCACCATGTCCACAAGGTGGTATCCCATCTACCAGCGCGGCAATCCGCAGCTGCGCGTTTTCCTGCCCAACTTCTGGATGAAGCTGATCCGCCCCACGGAGGAGCAGCCCCCCAATGTGGTCACCTTTTCGGTTTCGATGGAAATGACCAAATACGATGTGCGCAGCTATCTAGAGAAGATCTACAAGCTGCCAGTGGTGGATGTGCGCACCCGAATCGCCCTGGGAGAGACTAAGAAGGATCAGGCCTACGGATACATCACCAAGAAAGACGACGTGAAGCTGGCTTATGTAACATTGGTATGGGCTTTTACAATGTCATATTTTAAAAGGTTATTACTTATAATATCTGCCTTCTCCAGCCGAGGGAAGAGTCCTTTGTCTTCCCCGATTTCTTTGCGGAAAAGGCTGAAAGACAGGCCAAGGAGGAAAAGTCGCTGGATGAATCGAAAGAAGGCTTCCGCCGATTTCTGGACAGGAACAAGAAGCGACCCGGCACTCCAGGCTGGTTTTCCATTTAGTTTAGTGATCTGTAGTTCTAGCTCTTTTGTTGTTTCAACGGGGTAATTAAACATTTATTTCGAAAGTCCGAATTAACTTAAAGCTTGGCTTCATATTTTTTGGGGGGATTTCCTGGGGCCTACGATCCTACTTTGCCTGCTTGACGGCGGCGGCAACCCAGGCGCGGATTTTGTCCTCATCCTGGAGGCCCACCATGCGCTGGACCTCCTTGCCATTCTGCATCACCACCAGGACGGGCACGGCGGCCACATCGTAGTCCAGAGCCAGTTCACTGTGCTCATCTATATCCACTTTGGCCAATTTGATGGAACCCGCCTGTTCGCCCACAATGCTCTCGATTCTGGGGGTCAGCAGCTTGCACGGATTGCACCATCTGTTGGTGTATAATATATACATTAAAAGGATATATATTAAATTATATAGAAACCAAATTACGTTGCAAAAAAGTCCACAATCACGGGCTGCTGGCTGTTCTTCACTTTCTTGTCGAAATCCTCGACACTTTGAACTTTGAAGATCTCCTGGCGCTGCGAGGAGACTGACAACGGCCGGAATTGCTGGCCACCGACCAATCGACGCGTCGTCTGCCCCAGGATATTTACCATCTGTCGCTGCATTGCTTATTTTCTTTCTTTTTCTGGAGTGCAAAAGTGCAAAATACCTTGAGAATTGATTGCAAAATAATGACACCGCCCGGAGAGTTGCCAGATCACTCGATTTCCGGCATTCCACCAAAGGTGTGGACACATTGTTATGGGAACTGTTACTTTTTTTATTCAATAAAAAATATTTGATACATTGATCTAGCGTTGAAATGAAATTTAGTTTTGGCTTTTAAATAATGTGAAGCAATAGATATAAGATCATTATTGAAGCCAGAAAGAAGTTAACTAAGCATCAATAAAAACGAGCTATTATTTATTAATAAAAAAAAAGGGTTTGCAATAACCCATTTATTTGTTTGTACCGCGAATAACACACAATAAATATGCACATATGTCAATCTATATAACGTATTTATCAATACAGATTCATATCGTGACTGTTTCCCTTTCCTTGCTGTTACGAACTTGGTGGCAACTCTGTTACAAAGATTTTCACCATTTTCGGGGTGTGCACACACTGCGCCTGGCCACTTTTTTTGTGAAGTGAGCTGCATATTTTTGTTTTGTCGTAATAATAAAGTTCTCGGTTAAAATTCAAGTGTTAGACTCGCTAAACGTTCCGCAGACATCGGGTATTATAATTAGCGCAGTTGAAAAAGGCGGGGAGAATCGGCTGGAACGGCCAGCCCCCTCGGGCCAATTAGCGAAATTGCCCAGCGAATTGCGCAAATGGCCGATGGAACTTCGGTTTTTCCGTTGAACTGAAGAAGGCCCAAGGATACAAGGATCATCAGGATGGACGACCTGTCGCAGGGCGACATCTGCCGCGTGTGCCGCTGCGAGGCACAGCCGGATAGGCCGCTCTTCTACCCGTGCATCTGCACGGGATCGATCAAGTACATCCACCAGGACTGTCTGATGCAATGGATGCGATACTCGCACAAGGAGTACTGCGAACTGTGCGGCTACCGCTTCAGCTTCCAGCCAATCTACGCCCCGGACATGCCGCGAGTCCTGCCGCTGAAGGACGTCCTGGTGGGCCTTATGTCCGCCGTTTTGGAGGGCGCCCGCTGCTGGCTTCATTATTCCTTGGTAGGAATGGCCTGGTTTGGCGTGGTCCCTCTATCCGCCTATAGGACCTACCGGTACCTGTTCCGCGCAAGCTCCTTCGACATGATCCTCACGCTGCCCTTCGACATCTTCTCCATGGAGAACCTCGCCGCGGATGCTTTTCGCGGCTGCTTTGTGGTCACCTGCACGCTGCTATCTTTTATAGGATTGGTCTGGCTGCGCGAGCAGATTCTCCATGGCGGCGGACCCGACTGGCTGGAGCGGGAGGATGCCCCTCTGCAGGCTGCAGCGGCTGCTAATCCGGCGCCAGCTCCCGCTGCGGAGGCAGCTCCACTGCTGCCTCAGGACGACAACAACAATGCCGAAAATGCGCCGCAAGATGTGCCCATGGATAATGAAGCGCCGGCCGCGGCGGACATCGAGGGACAGAATGCTGCCGCTCCAGCGGCCGCTGCTCCCGCTGTGGACGCCGATGCTGACGAACAGAACTGGAATCCTATGGAATGGGATCGGGCTGCCGAGGAACTCACCTGGGAGCGCCTCCTAGGACTCGATGGCTCGCTCGTTTTCCTCGAGCACGTCTTTTGGATCATCTCGCTGAACACTATGTTCATATTCACCTTCGCATTCTGTCCCTACTGCGTGGGCAACTTTATCCTGAGCTCCATGGATCTGCTGCAGCCGGAGAAGCCACTGCTGCACTTCCACGGCCTGATTACCACTTTGTTCGGCTACTGTTGCATCGGATTGACTCTGGTGGTGTTGCACTTTTTCGCCAGAGTTTTCCGGCTGCGAAGAGTATGCTGGTTCATCGGACTGTGCTACATTGTGGTCAAGGTATCGTTACTCTCTGTGGTGGAAATCGGAGTGCTTCCGCTAATTTGCGGCTGGTGGCTGGACATCTGTTCGTTACCCTTGCTGGATGCCAGCTTGAAGGATCGTAAGGCAAGCTTCAAGGCTGCTCCAGGCACCTCTCTATTTGTCCACTGGATGTTTGGCATGGTCTATGTGTACTACTTTGCCGCTTTCATTTCGCTCTTGAGGGAGGTACTTCGGCCGGGAGTGCTCTGGATATTCCGCAATGTCAACGATCCGGACTTTAGCCCCATCCAGGAGATGATCCATGTACCGATAGTGAGGCACATCCGTCGTTTGGTCGCCTCCGCCATGATCTTTGGCTTCGCGGTGTTCTTGATGCTTTGGCTGCCTATTAGAATTCTGCAGGTGGCCTGGCCCAACTTCTTGCCCTATGCGCTGAGTGGCGATGCGGAGGTCAACGATCTTAGTCTTCAATTGCTGCTCCTGCAGGTGAGTTTCTGCTGCATTTTGTTGATAATTTTAAACTATTTCAACATACCCTTTGCAGATCGTTTTGCCAGGCTTTTTCGAGCAGACCCAAACACGAATCTGGCTAAAGGGGTTACTACGCATTTGGTGCACAGCGGTGGCCTGGTTGCTGGGAATTCGAAGTTACCTGCTCCCAGCACCAGAACCCGAGCCCGAAAATCCCGCAGCTGGCGAAGAGGGTGGGGAGAATGCCGCTGGCGAGAATAGAAACCAAGAGGGCGAGGCTGAGGGAGCTGCAGCGCCACCGCCACCGCCCCCTCCACCGCCACCGCCAGTGGAACCGGCGCCTGCACCACGAAACCTGGCCGCCGCCCATCAGGCCATGATGCAGCGCGACGCACCCGTGGGATTCCAGCCGTACGACAAGCCCTCGCTGTTCGCAATCCGTTTGTGCGCCCTCCTATCGCTCATGTGTTTGTCCATCGTGTGTGCGGCCATGTTGACGCTCACGGTTCCCGTGTACATTGGCCGCCGATTGATGATGCTCTGGACTGGACAGCCGGGTGAGAAGGCAGCGGGTGCGGCAGCTGCAGCAGGAGCAGTAGAAGTGGCTGGAAATTTGGCGCCATTGGATGCGGAAGGAGCCAGGAAGAACGAGCGATTGCTGCGCTCGCATGAGCTGTACACCGCTGAGATAGGTGGCTACCTGTGCTGGATTGTCTGCCGGGGAGTGGCAGTGGTGGTCACCCTGTTGCCCCAAGGACGCGCGGCCATTGTCAGCAAACTAAAGCACTGGGCGCGAGTGGCATTACAATATGCCCTGCCGGTTCTAACACTCCTCGGAATATTCGTGCTGGTTCCTTTGCTGTTTGGATTACTACTCGAACTGGTGGTGGTGATTCCCTTACGCGTTCCTTTGCGCAAGACACCCATCCACTTCCTGTGGCAGGATTGGGCGCTCGGAGTGCTGTACAGCAAGATAGCCATCGCCTTGACTTTGATGGGTCCGGATTGGCATTTGAAACGGGCCTTGGAGCGCGCCTACATGGATGGATTGCGCGATTTTGATTTGAAGTTTGTGATGCGGGACTTGGCGGTGCCGGTTGTTACTACATTTGGCCTGGCTCTGGCCGCTCCCTACGTTCTGGCCCACATGGTGTTCCCGATTTTCCTGGCCGACGCTTATGCGCGGCATGCCATCGCCCGTCTTGTGTACCCTGTTAGCTTCATAGTGGTGGGCAGCATCTGCTTCGTTTTGTTCCAGATCAAGCAGCTGAAGAAGCTCTACCTTTCCATCAAGGTGGATAAGTATCTGGTGGGTCAGCGGCTGGTCAACTACGAGCACCGCAAGAAGCAGCAGCAGCAACAGCAGCAGCAGCAGGAGGAGGAGGAGCAGCAGCGGGCGGCTCGAGAATTGAAGGAGCTCCAGGAGAGGGAGAGGGAGCGGGAACGGGAGCAGCTGGCCCAGGAGCAGGACTTGGCTGAGCTTCTGTAACTAGATCAGGTGCGAATCTGGGTTTGTTTGGGCTTTAAGATGTACGAAATATGGGAAACTCAAAGGATTTTCATTTTATGCATGCTTTTATGCATTCATTCTTAAAGTGTAAACCTTATTAAAGTTTTTATTATAAATCATCAATTTGGACGCTTTTAATAAAAAATATTGAAGAATGAAATTTATATTACCATGAAGAAACTGTTTTTCGGACTAAAACATTTCAAGTTAATTAAACAATTTATATACTTTTACTTAAAAGTTATTTCTGTGCACGTTAATTAAAAAAGTTTAATTGAAGCATCTCAAATTTCTTTTTCAAGATTATTATTTCAACCCGACAAGGAGGAGAAGGATGCCACGAGATGATGTTTGGAAATATTTGTGTTTTTCCGTTGTCGAGCCACTCCTGCTGCTAATATATCTCGTTTTAGTCTCTGTTGCCCTACCAAAACGGAGGATTTACAAATTATCGAGTGAAAGAAACCTATTTTGTTCTAGCTTCGGCCCTTTTTCCCCACTTTTAGTTAACTTTCGTTATATGATTAAAATGTTAGCTACAATTGTTGTTAAATCCCTAATCCTTTTACCGCTTAGAGGTCATAAGTTGTATGATATTTTAAGACAGCCAGAAAAAAACCCCCGCCACGTCCGCGATTTCACACATATATGAAATCTAAGGGCAGCGTATACACCTTGTATTAGAGCCGTATTCAGAAACTACATTTGGAGAATTGTCAACACAGCAAAAACTTTAGAAAACCCCGAAATAAACCAAATCCAATATGGTAAAAGTGGTGAAAATTTATGGATAGTGGAAAAGAAAAACATTTTCGAGCTAGCTTTACGAACTGTAAAAATTATATATGTATACATTATAAATATAACTGATTTAAAATTAATTAATAAATTTAACATTAAACTTCAAAAGAAACGGCGAAAGTTTTTAAATCTTATAAATGATATTGTTTGTGCAGATATAAATATAAAATTATTTTATTTTAAGCCGCAAACACTTAAGTAATAAAGGTTTAGAATTCCCGACTTGAGATAAAAGTAGATTACGATAAATTGGGAACTCGTGTGAAAAATAATTATCGAAGACATCTGTTGTGCCAAGTCGAAGAGCACAACACAATGTAAACAGACAATTAATCAACGTCCAAACATATTAAATGAAGCACCATAATGTAACTGGAAGTCAATGGATGAGCGGTGCACTCAAGTGAGCTAATCATTGAATTCGTTGTTAGTTGGGAGTTGTGCGTTGGGGCGATGTCAATCATACGCCCAGTGTGCCAGCGGCAATTGACAGACACGATTCTCGCCCACGGGGCGTATAAGGAATGGCCAGTCGACCAGTAGTGAAGTGGAGAATCCAGGATGTTGCCCCAAAAATTCGTAATAAAACAAAAAAAAGCTCAAAAGTTGTTCGCTTCCCAACAGCTCCCAGAAAAACTTTTGGCTGTTGCGAATTTGTTGCTGCGACAAATAGAAAAGTTCCCAATGTTTGTAACTTAAATTGTTTTGTGGTTTGACATGACCACGACTGCTCCATTCCACACAGCAAGTCAAAGTGGCTTATGTGCCGTGGCTATTAAAATGTATGGCAGGTCCTCGATCTCCCACTCCCCTCAAATGACTTTACCAAATTAAACACTTACCGAACTTGCAGATGGGCGAGTCGCTGAGATAAACAAATAATAAAATGAAATCAAATAATTTGCATTATGTCAAAGTTGAAAGTTGCCGAAACATTTTACTTGCCAGCGCGTGCTTAAGTAGAGGGCGAAACCCGAATGGGAATGAACGGGGGGTACGGGACAGCATTTATAAAGTTGACCAAACTTTGGCGCGTGTTGGAGTGACCCACGTCGGGATCGGGATAGTGGATACATCACCGAGATTTCTTCCTACTCAAAGAGCGAAAGGTTTGCATTGCGGTTCAATGAACCAAATGTGGAATTTAAGTCTGTGAAACGGAATAAATTTCAATCCGCTACCGGATCGATTGGTCTTGAATAACTTGTTTCGAGGTCAATTCTCTAAAGGCCTTTGCACAAACGAAATATACTTATTAACAGAAAAAGGATTCTCACTGGAAACACTTCTAGTGTTTTTAATGTTGTAAATGTTTTATATGAAAAATAGGAGTTATTCTAGGTATTAAAAATACATTTTTAAAAGTATATCCCCTGGCAATAATTTAGAGAATTCTCGATTAATTAATATAATATTATTAATATGAAAATATACAAAATACTAACGAATAATATATATAAAATATGTATATCCATCAATTTATTTAATATTATATTTTCCATTCCTATTTTGACATTATATTTCACAAATTTCGTCTGTTGGAACTCAAATGGAATTGGAGTTTATGTTCGTAAGGTTGCCATTGTAATTATGTACACGAATCTTACATCTCAACCGCGAATTCTTTAGAAATACCAACGCAAATGCCTAATGTTTAAGTTGTTTAGTGAGTTATATTATTTCAATGATTTTTTTCTGTGTATGCTTTGAAATATGTGAAGATGTTTGATTTGCAGTCGGAGGAAATAGTTCATTAAGCTGAATAGCTGTTTGGCGAAATACTTTTAATTGGATTTCCAACTATGTGAGTGCATGACCATGGAGAATGGGAATGCAGCTTACAAAGTCGACTTACCTCCATAAATCAATAGTCATCTCCATCTTAACATGTCAGCGGGCCATTAATAAAATCCCGCATAACTCAAAACATCCTCCAGTCTGACGGTGATCAAGACAATGCACTTTTATGACTCTATTAAAGGACCATAAAAATATATATAACAAGTTGATGGCTTTCGTTGACTTTGGTCTAGTCCCTTCGCCGTAAGCGGATTTTGAGCTTAAAGTTGTTGCCACATTAATGCTCGCCTTTTTTTTTAAGGAATTTTCGGGGGCACAAATTCCTGAAGGACCACTGCAAATACCACAAAATGCCAGCAGCCAGACAAATAAAGTTTTGAAAATGCTCAATGGTTGGGCAAACAAAACTCTCGACACTCCAGTGGCGAAAACACACTACACTTGCCAACTGCTGCCTATCAATTTATTTAGAATTTCATTTGAATAATTAAAGGGTCTCGCTTTCGGCCAATGTCCATCTCTATTTTGGTTGATTATGCGAAGGGGGAATAATATTTGATTACTTTTAATAATGTAAACAGTAAATGTCGAGCTGTTGGCTAATTTGAAATGTGGTTGTGCTGGAAATTGCATTACTGATTTTAATTTTCATTCAATTTGTTCACTTTTCCGAGAGTTGAATTTTCGCAGTAGCCTTTTAATTACCGCTTATATTGTGTTTGGCTTTATTTAATTACAAATCAATGTAAAATGTTGTTTTACAAGGCTTTATGTTTGTTAATTGTAGAGGTCAAAAGGCCAAAATGGTTTATGATTATGTTAGGGAATGCTTTTATGAGTACAAATTGTTGCATAATTTTAGACACCTTTAAAAGTGATTTCATAGACCAATGTGTTACGATTATGGTAGTTTTTAAATCCTTGTGTTTGACACCCAAAAGTATGCAGAAAAAAAGGAACGATGTTTTGTGCAAAAGTTGTTGCATACTTTTAGACACCATTAAAAGTTATTTTAAATTTCTAATTATAATTATTTCTGTGGTAACAATTTTATATTCAACAAATAAAGCTTCCATTCCCTGTGATTATTTATTCATTATGATTTCGCCTTAACCCAAAATGCACTCGGATTTCCGCGGATAATTTTTAATTACCACTCTCGAGTTATCAAGTTTATTTTCCTGCTTCCCGCATGGGAACATTAGGGAAACCAAACATATACATTCAGATGAAGATGTCAGCCACCCTTGTCAACAACTCTTGTGAAAAGACATTCTTTATGTTTCCGCTTTTTCATCTTGAACTCTGTGTGCATTGTTGCTGTTGAAAATTAACAACTTCATATGTCAGCCGTGATAACTTTATGCCCCTTGAAGGGTACAAAACATACACAGAAACTCGGGGAGCGGCTTACGCGGCTTTATCATTTGTCGCGCATTACGGGGCGTATGCGTAATGTGTCAAGGCGAGGACTTTAAGCGGAGCTCATTTGCATGAATTGCTCCGCAGTTTGTTATTGTTATTGTTTTGGCTGTTGTTGCTGCCGCTTCCGCTTGAGGCTCTTATCAAGCATAACCAACACTTCATAAATTGTCTAAAATTAGCCATAAAACAAAGCAACCGGGCCAAGTTGTTGATGTTTTTGTTACGGTTGCAACAATCTCAGGAGTGTAGCAACCCTCCCTCCCCCTCGAAGCTCGTTATGCTTTATTACGCCCATCTACCCGGTAACGTAACCCCCCCAGAAAAACCCCTCCCCCCGTCCATGGCAACTATATATCCGGGTACTGGATAATAGAATGGGTAGCAAAATATGTCTGTTCTGGTTGCCACACTCGGTCGCTGAAGTGGCCTTTTGATTTCCGTTGCCATAATTTATTATTTTTCCCAACGCAAAATAAAATAATTTGTTTAAAAGCATTGCCCTGGGAAACTCAAGAGGGGTCAGTCCTAAAAAACAGAAAATAGTTAACCACCGCAGAGCGAAAACAATAACAGAAAAATGGAAAGTGAGATAGGTCACTCTCTGAATTCCCTGAAAGGTAAACTTTTTCTTTTTAACGCAGTTTTAACTGTTAGGTTTGTGTTAAGTTGGTAAGTTAATCATGTTCTTCACAATAAAATTTACCATTAAAATGTTAAGTTGATGTAGCTCCCTAAGCTGAACTTTATATTTGAAGAAAATCAAAATCTTTTAAGCAATAAAACTTTATATCATAAGGAAAAAAGTTGTTTGAAATTTGAATAGCGAAAAAAAAACTCTTGTGCAATAAAAAAGTCATATTAAATGGAATGTATTTTCCTGAATCTAACTTAAATACATTAAATTTATTGCAACAGGAGCTAAGAAATTCCGGATGCATACAAATTAATTTTCCGAATTATAGCATAACTTCTGCCATCGTTAATATGCCTAAATTTTCAAGAGGAAAGGTGTTCAGCTGCTTCAGAGATAAACAAAGGGGATTTGGGACAGCTGAATGCCCGGGAGTATTTATTTACTTTCCTGGTTTAGGCCAACCACAACAATAGACCAACAAAAAAAGAGGACCCAACCCAAGTTTTTACGCTACCTTAAAGATACATAAAAAATCCTTCTGCATTCTACTTTGTCTGGGGGTTAAAGTTTGAAGTTCGGGGCGTTACTTTTTATGGCCTGCAGCCGTTGGCAGCGTCTGATTGAGCGTGAAGTTGTAAAACTTAAGGAGTGCTAAGTGCCTCGTGGTCCGACTGCTGCTCCTCCTCGGGATTATGGCCAATAAAGCACGCATGTCGGGGCCAGAACTCGACTTGGTCTAAAAAAACAAGAAAATTAAATATGCCCCACAGAATGGGGCTTTGGGAAGGTGTGCCCACTGGACATTGTCCACCTCAGAGGATGGGTTAGATTTATGGGTTGGTTAGGCCTGGGCAAGTGGTAAGTGATAACAAGATGGAGAGATTAACCCGACTTACGAGCCACTTGTTCCGGAACCTTGTAAACTCATTTTTTAGTTGACCATCATTTAGGTGGCTTAATAGCGAGAATGGCGAAAGGGTAAAGAATCCCTTTCCTTTTGGGAAGGACATTTTTTCTACAGTAAAAATAAACACTTTATCTTACTTGGGGTAAAATTAAAAAGAAACAATTCGCCTAAGAAATAAAAATTGTTTTGCTTACCTTGTACATTTTTAACAAATTTTTTGGATTGGTAAATACAATTTAAGTAAAGAGAAATATCAATTTGATTTAATTTATTTAAGTTGTCTATTCTTATATCTTTGTCAACCACAAATCACATTTTTGCAGCCCTTCTGTTTCCTCTAACTCAAATATTAAACTGCTGATCCCGATAAATCCCAACTGATGACCCAATAAAGTAAACTAAGTCATCAGGACAACAGCTGCTCGGCATGGCCAAAACTGATTTTTCATATTCCCATTTTCTCGATTTTCGCAACTTGACTTATTTGTGCCAATCAAATGAAGCTGCATAAGCATCGCATGTAAATTCAATATGTAAATTGACAAATACAATATAACGTATGGATTTTTTTGTGTGGACATGCAATAAATACTAAAGCCATATATACGGCCAGTAAAAATGCAGTCGAATTATTTGCCAATCGAGAAAAAAAGGGAAAAGGAGCGGAGGGCTTCCAAGGGGGCTCCAGATGTTTATTCGTTATTATGGCGACTGGGTCACGCACTTTTTTTCTTTTCGATTTTAGCCATGGACAAAGCGACGCCTCTGTGGAAGCCATAAAATTCGATCATATATAGCGCGTTTTCACCGAATAGTCTGGCGTCTGGATGTAAGCATACTTTTTATGCAAAACGAATCAAAATCCAATTATAAACCGAAAGCGTGTGTGTTCGCCGGGTGTTAGAATGGGCCAAAGGGGTCCTTGGGAGGTGGCGTCCAAAGGACCAGAACCGCCGCTGCACCAACAACCCAACAACAACACTTGGTCAGGCGGTAATGAAAAATTCAATTTGGTAAACAAAAGACGCCAGCGAAAATGCGATTTAATATACATACGCCCATATGTGCGTGCGAGTGCATCGGAACGCGTTTATGCACTGAGAAAAATGTATGAGAACGCACATCTATAGTTCACATAGTGAAATAAATAATGATATGAATGTATATTTTTGACCTGGAAAAAATATTAGGATTGGTAGTACAAATATAAAAATCCCTATTAAAATGTCATAATGATTTCAAAAACAATTTAAATAAAAAAAAATATTTTGATTAGTATTACAAATATTAAAATCCCCATAAGAATGTCTTAATTTTTAAGTTCCTCAACAAAGGTTTGCGGCTTGGCTGTATCTAATAAATAAATAAAATGTGTTATCGAAAGCAATAGTAATGTACTCATTAAAATTAAACATACACAACATTTTATAAAGCAGAATATAAAGAAATTAAAATTTAAATGTTACTAATATTTAAAATCTATCACATATTTCTTCTCAGTTCACGTATAAATTTTCTGTATGCACGCGTTTTGTCGTCGCCAAAAACTTGGTTGGGGCCTCTGACTAGGCAACAATAAAACTCATTTGCATTTGCCAGCCATGACAGAAAATGGTGTTGTATACTAAACGGTTTCTGCAAATATTTGCCAAGCCAACTGTTTGAAGCCCACAAATTTGCCAATAAACCATAAACTCTCGGTAGAAAATATGAGCAAACCGCAAACATATTGCTACAATTTTGATATTTGGTTTTAATAAAAGTGATTTGTGGGCCTTCAAAGTGGTTGCTATATGAATTTATAAAAGATTTAAGAATGAATACTTATACGAATGCTAATCAAATGATATTTATTTAATATAATAACATTTGAATTCTGCAGGAAAACAATAAAATTAATCTGTTAAACAATAAGAATGTCTATAAGTTCTTAAATATCTTTTAAATTTGCTGTTTATAAGATGTAGGAAATTATAAAAGGCTAGTAATGTCAGACCTCTAATGCCAGTCAAAAACGTAGTGGGCAGTCACCAGGTAAATCGAGGAGATGATAATGGTGACGAGCATGATGGGGAATCCCACTACGAAGAACTGCCGGAAGCTGATCTCGTAGCCGGAAGCTCTGGCAACCGCCGAGGCGAACTCGTTGGAGCAGGATCCCAAGAGGGTTCCGTTGGCCCCGTAGCTGGTGCCCAAACTGGTGGCCCAGACCATTGTAAGCAGCTGCACATCCACATGGTGCTCGTAGGTCATATCGATGCAGAGCTTTACCATTATGGTGGCCACCGCGGCATTGTCGATGACGGCAGAGAGCAGGGCCGAAAGCCAGAGGATCAGGAGCATGCCCACCATGGTGTGGTGCGATTCGTCCACCCTCTTTAGCACCTTAATAGTTTGCTCGCCCACCCAGTGGATGAGGCCCAATTCGTGCAGCACCTCGGTGAGAACAAAGAGTGAGGCCAGGAAGAGCATGACGTTCCACTCCACCCGTTCCAGAATCTCACCCAGATCCTTCTTGTCGGCCAGGATGAGCAGCAGGAAGGCGGCCAGAATGGATATCCAGCCGAGGGAGGCGCCGGGAATGGCCGAGGGCACCGATTTCAGGATGAAGCACGAGGCGGCAAAGCCCAGGGCCAGCAGGGATTGCACCAGTAGCATCTTCTTGCGTATCCTATTATTCGCCTCCAAGTGGGCCAGGGTCACAAAGTAATTGGCAGCCGGATGGATCCACCTTCTCCTGGGCTGATTCCTTCGCAGCTCGGCAATCCTTAGCTGAATATCGAAGGAGGGTCTCATCTCATCCCGCCTCTTCTCGGCCAAGTCCAACTGAAGCTGGTCCAGGACAAAGATTTTCTTGCCCATGGTCAAGTAGATCAGGCCAAAGGTCACCACCATGCAAATCAAAGCAGGCGGGAGCATGCGTAAGGTGAATCGAACGAAGGTAAAACCAGTGGCCTCCACCACCGCATTGGTGGATATGATTACATTGGGTGGTCCACCCACGGGGGTTATGGATCCTCCGATATTTGCATATAAGGCCACGATGATCAGAACCAGAGTGGTTCTCACCTCCATGGCTTCGCACAATCTTACGACGGAGGGACTGAAGAGCAGCACCACCGTAGAGTTGTCCATAAAAGCGGAGCTCAGGGACACCACCATGATCAAGAGGGCAATCAACAGCCAGGCATGACCCTTGGAGATCCGATAGGCCACCACGGCCAGGTAATTAAAGAGTCCCGTCTCCGACATCAGGGACATCATGATCATATTGCCCAGAAGAAGCATCAGTGTCTCAAAGTCCACCATAGAGATGATATGTTGCAAGCTGGGTTTGCTGGACACCAGTGTTAGTGTGGCCAGAGCAGCAGAAGTTACCAGCAGAGTGCACAAAGTCCTGTCCCCCAAATCCCAGATTAGCATTATATACAGTGCGATAAGCAGGATGGCGGCATACAATTTGCAGTATTTGGTCTCCAATGGGGAAGTATTGACCACCATGTGCAGACCCACTGGTGTCTCACTCATGCTCTCCAAGGAAATAACCGTCTTGGCATAAGTCCATTCATACGATGAACTTTCGTTAGGCTCAATCATCCTATCTTGATTATACCATCCCGCATGGGAAAGCCGAAAGACCTTGTCAACCTCGTGGATCTTCCTGCTATCCTTCGACATATACACTATCCACTGGGCTGTGCGCATATAGCTTTGATTCCGTTCCAGATCACGCCACTCCAGACGAACTCCAACGGATGAAAAGTTGGACCACTTGCGGATATGATTCGTGAGATATGGGTTTATGGCTCCTCTCAGGCATATCTCAACGGATTCGTGCTGTATTTGGACACTCCTGAAAAGCGTCTGATTGGGCATCACGGTCACCATAGAATTGGTGACCTCTGCCGACTTGTGCGTCAGCAGGACGAACGTGAACATACTCCAGAGTGCCACCAGAATGGACACTGTGATGATCAAAAAGACGTAACCAACTTTGGTTTTCGGTGCAGATCTTCTGTACCTCTTGCGAGAGTAAGCCAATGGATTCATTGTCTATTTGAAATTAATATCTTGAATAGAGTTTGATACGATAATCGCAGGAAATCTATAATTTGAAAGTAAAGTCAAACTTTAGTTTCAGATTTAACACAATGAATACTCTTTATTACGGATTTATTATCAAAAAAAAGTATACATAACAAGTCAAAAATTATAAATTAAATTTAAATCCTTATTTGATTCTGCCTGTCAAGGACCTAATTTGCACTGAGATATATATTTTCCAATAAAAACCCAACTACTAGTGGCTAATCCCATTGCTGTTGACCACAGGAAATAAACCTACTTGAGTTTTCTTTCAAAATGGCTTTAATTCATTAGATCAAAGCCGAGTCAAAGAAGTAGAGATTTTTCTGGTTTTTACCATTTCAGTTTTTTGCTCTTTTCTGCTTTGGCCAAGGCAAAAGTTGTGGCAACATCTGTTGACCGCTCAACTTGCTTATGATATGTAGTCTGGCTAACTTAATAAGAGAACTCAAACCTTTTTATGCTACATTCCCATCCAGACAGCATGTGGGTACTGCAGATAAAGTTGTAAAATTTGAAAAGGAAAAACAACTTGAGTTCAGAGTAAGTAGGCCAAAGAAGGTGAAATCCATTTTCCCTGCTGACCATCAAAAATGTAGCCATGATATGTGGAGAGTGTGCGGTGAAAGGCAGAAAATGTTGCATTGCAAACTTTTTAATAACGCCACAAAATGGCGCAGGAGAATGGAAAATCCGACGTAAAGCAGAGACATGGGATTTCTATATGGAAATGGACAAAACAATATTTGATGCATGACAAATCTAGAAAAAATTGTTTGTTATTCCTGCTGTTGCTATTTAGAGAGCAACTTTGCTAGCCAAACAATGGGTGTTATTCAGGCGGTTTAGTCAAGCGAGAAAAAGTTCTGAAAATATGCAGAATATTCTCAGGAGGTGGGCGAATTAAAGTCTTTAATATTCGTAGCAATTTCAGTTTAAAAATGTCTTCCCTTTAAGCTGGGTAATCTTCCAATTTTTTCCCTCATCCCCGCCGGCGGCTCTTATAATCCACTTCAGTTTTTTCCCCACAATTTGTCGCCATCCACATAAATCTAAATCAGCTCTTTCAGTCTGGCCACTGCACGTGCCACAGATGTGTGAAATTATCCATTCCCCAACCCAGACACCAGATTCCCCCAGCTATCTGCAACAATTTCCCCGTTTCATTCATTCTTTACTTTCAGTTTTTTAATTCCTACAAGTGGGGCGACATCAACTTTAAATGGCAGCGTGGTTAATTGGAAATGAAGTGCAATACAGACTGTCTGAGATCCGCTTCAAATGGCAGGCAGCGTAATGAAAATGGTCACCGACCCATGCAGGTGTTGGTTGCCTAGGCAATTAAATAGGATTTTCACATACCGTAACACAGCACATTAATTTGTATGACTGAATTGGGTCTGGAATATTTGAAAGGAGTCAGAGTGAGTACTTCCAAGCACTGGGAAAATAACTGATCATCCACACTATATAATGCTTTGGGAAAAAAAATGCATAAAACATTTGGTAGGGGCACACAAGTCACTATGATTTACAAATCACCTATAAATGTTTCCAAAAGTATGCTTTAAAAAAAAGAGTAGACGTTATTCGGAATGATTCCAAAGCTGTTCCAGAATTTAACAATATTGTTGCATACTTTTAGGCCTCGTTAAAAGTGAGTTTCTAAATAAACTGGTGTTTCAGTAATTTTCATTTCCCAAATTAAGCTTTAAGCTTTTCCAGTCCCTAATTTTATTCCCTGTGCAGTAACTCACTTTTATGTCAGCACTTTACGGGTTTATGCAATTACCAGACTAGTTGTTGGAAATTGATGTCTAAGGTTTATGTTTTTCCTGCACCATCCGATGTCGTTGCCTAATTAGTCAAAAAGAGGTGGTGTGGGTGCAGAGTGTCACGCCTGTTGCCAAATATTCTGACCCTAAGCATCGCACAAATGTTGTCACCCAGAGTTTCAGGCGAATGTCGACAGCTGGCAAAGCAGACCCGAAATGAATACCAGAACTGTAGAGCCGAAAACCACCCAGAACCCAAAACACAAAAAACAAGACGACAGTCGGGTCGACACTTTGACAGTTGCCCTGTCGTTCGAATTTCGCACGGGTCACGCCCACATTATGTCTGTGCATGTAGTACACATTGCGAATATAATGTGTATAAGCATGTAGGGCAGCGCATATATATACCCTAACAGATGGTATTTTATTTGCACAACTTTCAGTCGTTTTAAACTTTATTAAAATCTGTTATGGGCTATTTCAAACCTTTGGGGGATATATTTGTGAATTTAAAATAGGCTAGTTCTATTCAAATGGATTCGCGGTGCGTTGATTCTAAGTTTCAAGGGAAAAGCTTACAAATGTTAAGTTTTTAAAAGTTTCAACATTTCTAAAATTCGTCTAATACTTATTATAAATTTTTAAGGGAAATTATAATGAGCTACTATCATCCAAATGGATTTTGCTTCGTTGATTCTTCTTCGTTGGAATGTATGTATATAGATTATAAGTTTAGAAGTTAAATTTCAGGATTTTGCTAATATAATAATATATCTATCCCTTTATTTTTATATAATATTCATGAGATAGTAATGTTAACAATATTAACACTATAAGGAAAGTAGATATTCTAATTTTCCTTAGTTAGCTATTTTTCTGAAGATACCGCAGTCAAACTTGGTATAGTTCCATTTAATTAACTGGAGATCTCGCTATGACCTTCAGTTTTCTCAGGGTATTCCAGCTTTTACCAACCGAATTAACCGTGTGCCACCCATTATGTGATTCCGTAGGCGGTTTCTCCACCAAAGGTGGCCAAAGTATGAACTCAACGGCGGTGGGTAGGGTTCTAAGAATGGCTTAGGCTCCCTTCCAGGAGCTCATTACTAAATACCACCGATGCAGCAGCAGTAGCAGCTGCTGTTAAACGCCTTTGAAGTCGACGGCTCAGTGGGCCAAAGGAATGCCAGGACCCGAGGACCCAAAGACCCAAGGTCCCAAGTTACCAAGTTCCCAAATGATCCAGGGATCCAGGGATCCAGGGATCCAAGGTGCAGATGTGGATGGACGAATGGTAATGGTTTCGGTGGCGTAAGTGGGCTTATTTGAATTTATTGTGGGAATTGCAGGCGCCCAGAGCTTCGACGTGGGTGCCGCCGACATGAGACTCGGATCAAAAACAATAATTTACTTCATTTCACTTTCTCGTTTCGCGCAAGTTCAAGGGGCGTGGCACGCGGCTCAAATTGTCTGGAATTAGTGGGTAAAATTGGTGGGGATTATCATTCAGTGCCGACTCCCACGACTAATTGCCAACCGCTGGCATTAGCTAATGAAAAGTTTGCCAATTCAGAGGAAAAACAAGATAAAGAAGCTGAGCTCGTTGGCCTGTAAACTGTGAATTTGATTCCAGAAAATGTAGAGAAACCTATCTATATTCCCTAGAGATTTGAACACCGAAAATTGGCAAACTTCAGATTGATATATCGCTCCAATAAATTGTTGAAAATTCAATAGAAAATTGGTATACTCTGGGCCATAACATATTGCCCTCGCTGAAAATCTGCACAACTCTTCAACTCGCTGACTGATTTATGAGCGCATGTAAAACGATTCTGTGTGAGCAAAAGTTAGGCGGCAAAACTTTTCTGCCTGCATTATAAAGATGTTAATCCCAGTGACAATTTCTCTACCACCAGATTATACCAACTCTGTGCTATCCTGACGTCAGCCTGGCCAGAACAATAGAAAAACAAAAAGAGACCGGAGGAACTCTTCAACAAGTACTCATAAATGCAAATTGTTATTATGTAGTTGCGGCCATTATATACTTATATATATATGTAATAATATTTTTTGTTTCTTTATTGCGGATTATGAAAATGAGTATGTCCATTTGCATAATTGATATTTAAAATACGGACAAGAGAACCAAAATAGACCAAGAAACTTTAGCTGTCCTTTAATTGAAAAATAATACGTAGTACTCGGTACTGACTGAGGATAAGAAGGGGCCCACTCCGGTGAACACTTGCCATTTTCCCGCTCCTCATCCGTTGATCTGCTTGAGCTTTTCCGTAGGCCACCTACGTGTGGACACATGGCATTTTGTATATATACATCTACGCCTGCGGTGAAATTTCCATTTAAAAGGGGGTTCGGAAAAGTGGGCGGAAAGGCTGAAGGAAAAGCGCCTCGTCTGCTGGTTCTGTGAAAAGTTAATGATGTCGCTGCTAGCTGGAAGCACACATATTTCAACATTTACGTTTGTAATTAAATTTCGCAACAACCTCCGGGCATTCTGGAGTAATTGCATTTACCAGTTACATATAGACATGTGCTCAATTTGGGCCCTTTTAATATGAAATTAAACGGTTATCGTGAGCCGTCTTGTCCAGAAATGGCCATCAAATTGGCGTTTAATCTTCCCACAAAGGGTAATGTTACTTTGGTAACGATTTGCATGTTGTACTTACAGAATTTAAAGGGGCCTTATTTTCAAAGTGCTTTTTATGCTTGCCCTTCCAATTATCCTTTCATGGGTTTTAATTATTATATCTAGATTATATTTTCTTGGTTAATAATAATTACAGTAGTTAAAAGATTTACATAGTGGTTTAAAATAAAATGGACACTCCATTTGATTAAACCCTTTTCACCTTATTATATTATCTTAAACTTATATATTTAATCTTAATTAAATATATATGGTTAGTGTATTTCTGCCTTCGATTTTTATAACTCTCCCTGAAATGCACATAAAATTCAGTGGCAGTGGATTATGCACTCTTTTCCAGCGATGCCATTTATCCTGCCAACCATAATTCGATTTGCCTTCTCTTGTTTATTAAAAATACAAAAATTAATGCCTTACGTCATACGATGAGCACTACAAAGAGCTCGTTAAAAGCACGTTGCTGATTAACTCGGCGGTAAAAAACGAAAAAAAGATACAAATATTTAACC